CTATGCCGAAAGCTTCACACCCATACTACTGATGCTACAGACAGACCTGAGGAGATGGGAAGGATTCTACATCTCCTGGTTTTGTTGGATTAACGCCATTACGACGAACATGTCTCCCATACTACTCTACCTATTTTAAACCATATCAATTGCCATCCCGAGATGCTTCTTCCAGTCTTCAATTCGTGTGGAAGGCCAAAGCCCCCAGGATAAAATGATCACATCTGACCATGCAGAGATGCCAAGGCAGGGTGGGCCTTCCATGCCTTAAAACGTATTATCGGGAAACACCTCTTGTGACTCACAGATTGGCACACGAAAGACACACAGAAATTATGGATACCACTTGAGAAAGCCCAAACGAATGACGCCATCCCTGCCCTACCATGGACGGCTGATCCTTTACACTGCTGCTCGCGAACACCGTCTCAACAGCGCAACCTTCAAAGTATGGTGCTCAATTAGACCAACACTATATCTATTATCTACCCTCTCCCCCATGACACCAATCGGACACAACCCAGAGGTAGCTGGGGGCCTAACGCCCTCAGATTTGAAAGGGCCGACGACCACAGACTGGTTATATTTTCATAAATGGACAGACGGCCCAGCTTTCAAACCACTCAATGCGCTTATTGGGGAGGGAACCCCCACTGGACTCCAGAAATACCGCAACATTCCAGCTCCCTGCAAGGCGCACACCTCCTACACAGAGAACCCAAGGCATTCAAGGCCCTCTGTGCCGCAAGGCAGCACTTAAGCCACGGCATCACACTTCTCTACAAACAACTCCTAACAGCCACCAAACCAACCCCAATGACCTACATGTCGGTGTGGGAAAAGGACACGGGGGTCACACTGACAGACAACCAATGGGAAAAGATACATGCCCTGGCCCACCGAGGAATGGTTGACACTAAACTACAGGAGCTCAACTACAAGATCATCAACCGCTTGTATAGAATCCCAGCCCGATTGCACAGAATGTTTCCTGAACACCACAACCTATGTGGGAGATGCGAGCAAGCACCTGGAGACACCCTGCACATCTGGTGGTCATGCCCGATGATAGCACCATACTGGCAGAGGATACATAACCTGATCAAGGAAATCACTGACTCAGACATAGAGCTGCAACCACTACTGATGCTGCTCAACCACAAAAAGCTTTCTATTCCCACCTACATTAAAAGCCTAACAAGACACCTTCTAAACACTTCCAAAGCACGCATACCCGCACGATTAAAGAGTCTAGACAGAGTGTAGACAATACACAGCATGAAAAGCATCACCGCAGACATAAGGTGCAACCCAGAACGATGCACCCTATAATGGACCCACTGGATCGCCTATACCTCCCGCAGAGAAGGCAAATGCCAGCCTCAAACACAACACAACCCTACCCTCCTCCCATCCACATAGGAAGCCTGACCAGTCAACCATTGGGGACCTACTTGACAGTGGGAGATACCTCAATGGATCCATTGAAGTAGAAGAGGAGGGACCGTGGGAAAACCAAAGGACGCTCTGGGGGGGGGGCAGGTGGATCCGTGTTATGTTGTTCTATGTTATTCAATTCCACTAGTTTGTTTATAAGGCTCAACTGCATGGATACTGCTTTAACTCTGAACCCTTGTTTAGTCTACCTGTCAAGACTATTTTGATGCAATATAAAATAAAGATTGTTTTAAAAAAAAAAAAAAAAAGAATCATAGTTCTCTGATTGCAAATTTCACCTATTGCAAGATTGCACATTACTGGGTAAGTCTCGTATCTTTTGAGCCAAACAATAACTGTGCTCTAACTGACATTAATTATTAGACTTCTGCATTTGGTTTCAAATGGGATAGTGATTAGCCCAAATTCTGTAACTTTGAATCACCATATGACTGAATTGTGTAATTGTGAAGCAAATGAAACAAGGAATGGAAAAGCAGTTCTGTCTGTGGTGCCCAAAAAATACAAACAACAAGATTGATGGAAAAAAATATGGGGACAGCCACTAAGTGTTACATTTATTCACAGATCAAGTGAGAAGTCACCAATATAGAGGAAAAAAAGGATTAGTAGTACAAAAAAATATCTATATTTATATATTCTAGATAGCTTTTTTTACTGACCCTCTTGTATTTCCCTCTGTTGGTTGCTTCTCACTTTACCTGTAAACCAAATGGTGTTAAAATACACCTATTAATATACTGCAAAATACGTACAAATTTAGATTAATTATATATTTTGCCGCAGACTAGTAGGTGCATTTTTGCAGCATTTTGTTTTGCCTGAATCATGTCTATAAAACATCTGAACCGAAAAACCACATGGATAAAAACTAATTTACCAGAAACAATTTTTTTTGGACAACACGATTTTGACAAACAAATCCCAGGAAGTATTCGATAAGCACAGAACACATAATAGGATCACGTGTGTATTTTTTTTTAAGACCAGACTTGCCCATGTTCTAAGCATTCCAGATATGAGCCAATTGCTCATCCAGTGGTGTATTCTTTGTTTGTGCTGCCCTAGGCATGAAAAAAAATAGGCACCCTCCTCCCCCTTCCAAATTTCTCTTCCTGACAGACACACACCCTCACTAATGCATGCACTGACATACACTCAATTACAGATACACAGTCATGCTCACATTCACGGACACACATATATACTAACTGACAGACATCTACACACTCACTGACCAGACATACACTCACTAACAGAAGCACACTCACTCAGTGTCAGACACAAACACACTGAGACACACATACTTACTGACAGATACACACTGACAAACACACATATGCAACACTCCGTGTCATACACACACTGACTGACAGACATACATACACTAGATGACAGACACACACTAACACACACTCTCAGTGACACACGCATACACACAAACATGCTGAAACACACTTACATACCCTGACAGACACACATACACACACTGACAGATACACACTCACTGACAAACACGTATACACTCCCACTGACAAACACACATACACACTCCCTGGCAAACACATATACCCTCTCAGTGACAGGCACACACACTCTCACTAACAGACACACACACATACTCTGACACACACTAACTCTCACTAACAGACACACACTAACACATGAACAGACACACATTAACACACTCACACTAACATTCACAATTAAAAAAAAGAAAAACATTTAAAGTTCAATTCACCCAGCCTTCTACCTTTTGGGAGTGCTGGAGTGGATTTTTCCCTGTAGACCAGTGGGGCTGGCTGCAGCTCGGCGTGCGGGCAGGCAGGCAGGCAGGCAGGCAAGTGGGAGGTCGGGCAGACAGGTGAACGGTGGAGGCAGATGGCGAGGGAGCTCTGATCTCCCTGCTCAGCTCCCTCGCTCGCTTCTTAGTGATGCCAGGGCCAGAGTGACATCATATTCCAGCTCCACCATCACTGTGGTGCGCTCATGGGAATAGAGCAAGAGGGAGCTCAGGGGAGAGTGCTCCCTCACCGCCTGCCTCCAACATCAGCGCATACCAGCCTCGGGGCCCTGAGGTGACCAGCTGGAAGCTTCTGGGCCCCTTAGGAGAAGGGTCTGGCAAGGCATTTTTCCCGCTGCCCCCCTGAAAGAGCCATCCAAGGCAAATGCATTGTCAGCCTCCTGGTAGATACAGCACTGTGCTCTTCGCTGACTGAAATCCAGTACAGCAAGTTCTAGACATTGTTAGTGTAAAAAAGTCTGTGGGTCAGTATCCATTCATGCTGCACAATGTTGTGTACTCCATTAGGCTTTTTTGTTTAAATTTAAATAAATATGTTTGTTATTTAAGTGAAGCAAATGTAGAGGGAACAAAGAGATCCTGTATTAGGTGTTTTTGTCTATTTTATTTTTTTATTAATTTTGTTATTGCCTGGTCTATTTTTGGCTAGGTTATTTATTCTGAAATAAACAAAACTAGTGTATGTTAGTCATACTATGTTACAGTTAGTCCAAGTTGTTAGTGTAACGGAGCTCCCTGTACTCCGACCGAGTACCCTCCGTTGATGGATGCTCCTAGCGCTTCCTGAGGACTCCAAACACTGCAGCAGACACCGCAACCACCGCAGACTACACAACCGCCGTAGCTTAACTGGAGTCTCGCCGTCTTCCTTCCACCCTGGATCAGCTTCTGTCCTTCAGGACCGTGTGGGGAAGACCTCTCCTCCAGGAGAGCGTAACAGGAACAGCTCTTAAAAGAGCTAAGTGATTAAAAGCTCAGGAGAATATGCAGAGCATAGCAATCCCCAGTGTGATATAGCAGTTCCCTCCAATAACGAGACAAGGCTACGTATTGAGGGTCAAGAAGATCTGTTTACTTGGCACCAAAGGGCCTTCTTTTATGCAGGTTTCCCTGCGATAGGACCACCCACAGGGTTTTACACAACAACCAATAATAAACGTACATTACAGAAACACTCCCAGCAATTACACACAAAAATCCTCCCCTCTGCCTGTGATCTAATTATGGTACACAATGGGTTAACATAATTAAACACAGGCAGTAAAAATACAGTTTTTACCCATACCCTGTAACTTTAAAACCATACATCCAATCTTCATACAAATTACATATTTAGAATCAATCCATTCAGGGGAGCAACATATTAAAAATGGCACAAATCAGACAAGGGGTTCAAAAGTTAGCAAAAGTATCTTTTGGGGCCTGGCTGGCAGCATGGTTATCTGGCCCAAACCGGTTTTACAGAGCCCTCTATCCAGGAGACAATGGGGAAAATAATCCACATAATCCACTTATATCCATTAACCACATGTTAGCAAAAGACACAAAAAGACACATAAATACCTAACTCCTATCATACTGAACAGAACCCCCACATTCAACCTATCCCCAGATGGCTTGGATCTGAGCGCTCAATATATCCAAACAGCGCTCAGATCCCACAAATACAGTCAAATCGCCATACCCACTAGGTCCATAGTCATGGGGCAGAAGGCTGGCAATTAGGCTTCTCCATAACACAGGGAAGCAGGGCAATTTGTCAAATAAAATAACAGTTACAAATGGCAGTCTGTAACATATCTCCCCTTTTGGAGGGAGACTAACCAGGCACCTGACCTTCTGTCGGTCAGTGCCTAAGTTAGTCTCGCAACCCACCCACAAATAACAAGTAGCAAAGTAGCCCCCCCACAATAAACAGTACTGGCCTGTAGGTTCCAGGTTGTAGGATGAAAATGCAGCATCCTCTGCCTTCCTGGTGCAGCTGGGCAAATAGCTGGTGGTACTTGGGGGGCAGAGGCCAGCGGCGCTCTGCCCTGATGCCCGCACTTCTGCTGGGGAGAGGGGGTTGCAGACCAGTCCTGTAACAAGGGGGTCGGTAGGGCAGAGGCCAGCGGCGCTCTGCCCTGATGTCAGCTCTTCCGCTGGGGTAGCCGGCAGAATGTCACGCTCTGTACAAGGGACACAGGGAGGGCAGAGGCCGACTGCACTCTGCCCAGCTGCCAGCTCTTCCGCTGGTATAGCCTGCAGGACATCAGGCTCTGGACAAGGGACAAAGGGAGGGCAGAGGCTGACTGCACTCTGCCCAGCTGCCAGCTCTTCTGCTGGTATAGCCTGCAGGACATCAGGCTCTGGACAAGGGACAAAGGGAGGGCAGAGGCCGACTGCACTCTGCCCAGCTGCCAGCTCTTCCGCTGGGGTGCTGGGAACATAGTCCGGCTCAGTAGCCAGGGGAACATGGGAGTCAGTGGGGGTTAACATCTCCTCTGTTAACCCTGGGGCCAAGTTAGGAGTTAGCTGGGGAGGGGAATTCGTACTTACCCCCTCTTCCTGTTGTCCCTGTGAGCGTAGTTGGGGATCTGGACAGGCTTTCCAGCATCCCTGTAGGTCAGGCACAGAGACCACGGTCCCATCTGCGCCATCTGGGAGATTGGTGTCTCCCCTTGGTAGGGTAAGCTGCCGTTGGGGAGATAGGGTGCTGTGCTCCTCTCCCTGAAACACAGGCTGCCGCTGGAGAGGGAGACCACCTGTCTCCACTCCCATAACATTGTCCTGCTGCTGGAGAGAGAGACCAACTGTCTCTGCTCCCTGTAGGACACACTGCTGCTGGGGGGGAAGGACGACACCTTCGGCCCCCTGGAATTCGCACTGCCGCTGGGGAGGAAGGACGACACCTTCGGCTCCCTGTAACTTGCACTGCCGCTGGGGAGGAAGGACGACACCTTCGGCTCCCTGTAACTTGCACTGCCCTGGTGGTACCTCCAAGATATACTGGGACTGACTGGAGCTGAGTAGGCACTGGTAATCCTGTTCCAGTTTCCATTCCTGCATGGCCAATTCAAACAGGTCTGGCTCTAGGTCTACATCCATAGGGAGATCTAGAATGGTTTCTCTGGATTCATATATGTCCCATAGCCGTGACTCTGCAGCATCCCCGAACCTTGGTCCGGTACAGGCGTACCATAATACGCCAGGGCCATTGTAATCCTCGCCTTCTGCTCTGTCGCACTTAGCCATCCCGGGAACACGCTGAACTGCATACCAATGTATACCTGGTATGCATCTTCGAGCCCCAGTTCCTTCCATGCCAGAGAATTAAGCTGCATTACCAACTCCCACCTGGGCTGTTCTCCCATCATAGGCATCCATAGGGCCACTCGGGCCTGTAGTCGCTGCTCCTCGCTGGGGAGACGCTCACCTCGCCAACGCTGGACACCCTCCAGGGCTTCGTCCCACATCTCTTTCCTGGCGCCCTCTCTGCAGTCCAACCTGGTTGCCTCTGATACTGGCTCACCCACTGAGGCCAAGAGGCTCTGTAACCTCCCGTCAAACTCATCCTCCACTTTGAGCGCTGTCCAGGGACTTGCTGGCTCCATATTGCTCCGTAATAATTCCGGTGTCTCCGAGCTGTTTCTCCTCGCACTAGGACACCATCCCACAGCTGCCAAAAAATGTAACGGAGCTCCCTGTACTCCGACCGAGTTGATGGATGCTCCTAGCGCTTCCTGAGGACTCCAAACACTGCAGCAGACACCACAACCACCGCAGACTACACAACCGCCGTAGCTTAACTGGAGTCTCGCCGTCTTCCTTCCACCCTGGATCAGCTTCTGTCCTCCAGGACCGTGTGGGGAAGACCTCTCCTCCAGGAGAGCGTAACAGGAACAGCTCTTAAAAGAGCTAAGTGATTAAAAGCTCAGGGGAATATGCAGAGCATAGCAATCCCCAGTGTGATATAGCAGTTCCCTCCAATAACGAGACAAGGCTACGTATTGAGGGTCAAGAAGATCTGTTTACTTGGCACCAAAGGGCCTTCTTTTATGCAGGTTTCCCTGAGATAGGACCACCCACAGGGGTTTACAGAATAACCAATCATAAACGTACATTACAGAAACACTCCCAGCAATTACACACAAAAATCCTCCCCTCTGCCTGTGATCTAATTATGGTACACAATGGGTTAACATAATTAAACACAGGCAGTAAAAATACAGTTTTTACCCATACCCTGTAACTTTAAAACCATACAGCCAATCTTCATACAAATTACATATTTAGAATCAATCCATTCAGGGGAGCAACATATTAAAAAATGGCACAAATCAGACAAGGGGTTCAAAAGTTAGCAAAAGTATCTTTTGGGGCCTGGCTGGCAGCATGGTTTTCTGGCCCAAACCGGTTTTACAGAGCCCTCTAGACAATGGGGAAAATAATCCACTTATATCCAGGGATAGAGGCAGACTCCATTAACCACATGTTAGCAAAAGACACAAAAAGACACAAAAATACATAACTCCTATCATACTGAACAGAACCCCCACATTCAACCTATCCCCAGATGGCTTGGATCTGAGCGCTCAATATATCCAAACAGCGCTCAGATCCCACAAATACAGTCAAATCGCCATACCCACTAGGTCCATAGTCATGGGGCAGAAGGCTGGCAATTAGGCTTCTCCATAACACAGGGAAGCAGGGAAATTTGTCAAATAAAATAACAGTTACAAATGGCAGTCTGTAACAGTTAGGTATCATACAGTCATGTTACTAATAGTTTAATAATCTCTTCTATGCACAAGCATTTAGATAATTATTAGTAGTTTTTTTTCTGCATTTATATTTAATTATTTAGGGATTTTTTTATCTGAAAATCTATTATAATTTTTTTTTATCTTTTTCACTATCTTTGCTAGACAATTAGTCAGTTACAGCCTGATTTTATTAATGACATGGAGGCTCCGTGTCATGCTATCTCTTTCTTACTTTATTCCTTAGCAGCAAAGAGAAAATATAACTGAAATAGAAAAAATGTTTAATAGGAATAATATATAATTGATACAACCAGATCTGCCTAGTAACAGGGCAGCCAATCAGCTTATAGGAACAGTCCATAAATGTCTTGCTGTGTACTTCCACTTCCTCTTTCTTTGCTGCTGTCCTCAGACCAGCTAAGTATAATTTTTACCTCCTATATATTTGCTCTGTATTATTGCTGTCAGGGTTGTTCACCCTGCTTACATTGATTGATTTTGTATTCAGTTCTATGCTTATGGTTTTGTGTTTGTTTGAATTTAACTTCATTATATTTTATTATATTCCCTGTCCTGTGCCCGGTTTCACTGCCTGTGCTGTACATTTGGTAGCACAGGCCGGGATCCGCGGCTACCAGGGGAGGATTCCTCCTGGAGCTTCATTGCTCCCTGGTCATCCCTCCCCTTGCAAACGCGTGTGTGGCCATGTTATCTGCCGACCCGATCAGTCTCTCCTCGCACCCGCTGGTGCGAGGGAGTTCCCAGCCGCGTGCGTTCCACGCGCTCCCCGGCCATTGCGGCCATTTTCGCACTGCCTGCACTCACGTGGCTGGGATTACTCGACAGGTCGGCTCCCTTTACCTCTCTCCTTTCCGTTTTATTCATTTTCAGGTACCGTCAGTGGGTTAATCAACCCCTCTTTGGTTCTAGTGTTATTAAGCCCCTTTTTTCTTGTCAAACTATTTCTGTTGGGATCCTTTATATTTGCCCCTGCATCTCCCCCTGTGGGTATATTTATAGATTATATTTTATTGCTTATACTTGGGTTTCTCCTCCCTGCACCTATTATGCAGGCTAGAGGTGAGATCTCTGACAGCCCCACATACCCCATTATGGATCCCATGCAAACCCCTGTCACTGGGGAGAGTGGCCTCACTCCCTCTCAGGAGTTCCAGGCCCTCATTGATTCCACCATGCAGAGGGCCCTGGCCTCGGCCATGGGGATGGTGTCTTCGTCCTGTCTCATACTATACAGCCTCAGGCGAGCCGCAAGGTGCATGCTAAGACGAAACACATCTATCCCAATGTGACGCAGGTGTTACCTGCCCTGACGTGCCTATGGCCGTCCAAGATGGCTCGTTACCTCGCAAGAGAGCCACTGGCCGGGCAAAATCGTCCAGAAAGTGGAAAAGGGCGCGTGCCCATGTTAACGAAGGATCAGATTCCGATCTGAGTGGGGAGACGGACTCGGACGCCCCTGATTACGCTTCTTATGAGGAAGGGCTGAGGTGGGGTCTGACGCCTCAGCGCTACCTCCGGGTGGGGGTCAAGGCATATGTGATCCGCAGGGTTAACCCCTGTTCGATCCTGATGCCCTTCGCCATCCTCGCTCGGCGGAATGGGACCCGCCTGAGCACATAGCTAGCTACCTAGCTCTGCGTATGCGCACGCCTCTGTCCAAAGAGGGGTGCAGCAAATTACGGGCTGAATGCCCAAGGCCCTTGGTGCCTGATGCGGCATGCAAGACGCCAGAGGTTGACCCCCAAATTACGCCTGGCAAAAATGGGCTGGAAACCAAGAAAGGGACTGGAGTTCTCACTCCACAATTGCCAGGACAAAATTTGACACCCTGGGTCCCGCTGCCAAGCTTTATGAGCTCTTGGAGGCGGCTAAGGCAGGGGACACCCCTGCTTAATTTCGATGAAGCGATCGGATGGGTCCAAAGACTGATTTGCCTGCTCGGCAACGCAAGGCGATCTTGCTCAAGATTGAGCCAAAATTGGTAAACCTAGCGGTGAAGGAACCGGGTGCTACCGCTAAAGGCATGCTCTTTGGTGAGTCATTTGTTAAGGAGCTAGGCTCCTTTGTGCGCACCTTCAGCGCCCTAGATAAGGCCCAGTCCAACTTGAAACAAGTTTTTGGCCCAAAGGTTTTCCATGGGGCCGGGAGGTATAGGAGCCGTCCACCCGACCGTGGAGCTCGAGGTCCCTCACGGACTCACAGAAGTTCCTTTGCTGCTCCCTTCTTCCCCTCACGTGGGAGACCATGGTAGA